AGCTAGCAGTATAATTCTTATCCCAATACATGCAACTTTGATTGGATAAATTATCCAAACTCCTCATGGAATAATGAAGATATATTGAGCCACAATGAAGGTTCCAAGCTCAAGAAGAGGAGGCATGTTTTGATGGAAATTTGGAGGTACAATCAAATCAATTGCTCAACTTAGTTGCTGAAGAAATACAAGATGAGTTACCAATTGCAATAATGAAAAATCAAGAAGAAGAGGTAAACACCTTACCCTTGGAGATTGGAGGACAACTTGGAGAAGTGGAAAGCATACCTACAAAAACTAAACAAGAGGATGTCCCTAAGGAAAAAGAGGAAAAAAGCTCAAGTGTCATTTGAAGTGTTCAATGGGGTGTCTTCATTAACCAAATCTGATTTTAATGATTATTTTGTTGTTAATATGGTTGATGAGATTTTGCAGGAAAACACTTATGAGGATCCATTTGAGATTTATCTTATTCAAGCAAAGGACCCAATTAAAGAATACATAAATTGCTTGAACACATCCTCATCTTGCTTGGAATTGAAGGGGGCAATCCTAGAAGATTTGGGAAGGCATATCTCCTGGCCTAAACCCAAACCACCACAAAATAGTCATTGGAGAAAATCTTATGGTGGATTCAACTTAAGGGCAAAAAAGCCAAGATTCAAGAAAACAAGAGGACATACCCTACAACCTGATCCAAAGCCACCTTGGAGTGGTAGAAAGTCTAGCTAATAACTATAAATTAAGCGCTTCTTGGGAGGCAACCCAAGCATAAAATTCTTTTCACTTATTTATTTTTCTTTTATAGTTTAGATTTTCTTTTAATTTTTTATAACCCAGGTTGATGCATAAATGTGAAAAAATTAACATCTCACTAAGAGGTGAATTTATTTGATTAAGTTGAGTATTTTAGTTTATAAATTGTTGTTCTTTGATTTTGGCTAGGTCATTGAACAAGTTTGGGGGATGAGATTATGGAAATTCACATGCTTGAAGTCTCTAATTGAAAAGAGCTCAACTTTAGAATTTAAATTTTCAAGTGCAAAACCTAGGAAGTTTCTCTCTTCTTTTACTTTTGTTTAACATTGAGGACAATGTTTGATTTAAGTTTGGGGGAGAGAATAACTTTTAAGCGTTCATTCTTACATTAGTCGCATTCATATTTGCATGAAATACTTTTTTTAGAAATGAGGGTAAATTTTTTTTAGGAGTTGGTCCAATTAGTGTCTAGGAATTGAATATTCTTGAGTTAGAAATTCAAAAACTTTTAAAATCTTTGAATCTTGGAGGAGATACAAAATCTGAAAAAGAACACCGTTGTGATGAAGTTTAAGTTCATAAGTATTCTATTCTACTTAAGCACAAGTTTGTAGTGAGAAGTTTAGAGAGAAGGCTTAGTAGCACCTAAAAAGCACAGAAAAAGAAAAAAAGAAAGAAAGAAAGAAAGAAAAAGAAGCCAACATACAAAAGAGTTTGTTAAGTTCTACTCCAATGTTTTTAGTTGCTTAGTAACTGGGGATTAGGCATGAGACCCATATCAACTTTCACGTCATATGGTGACTTGAAATATCAGTATGCAAAGCACTTTGAGTTTACTACTTGTTGAGTAACTGAGTGCTTTCATCACAAATATTAGTATTCGCGTCAAAAGACAAGTGATAGCTTTGGGAAGAATGTGTTGTATGGCTAAAAAAAAAAAGAAGAAAAAAAGAAAGAAAAGAGGAAGTCAAAGGTTTCGTGACCTTTGTTACTTGAGTAAGTATGTTCTTAGGGTTGTCTCTTCATCTAATGCCCTAAAGTCAACTGGTTTGGGAGTCATTGATAGAAAGCTCGTTACATGGATAACTTAGAAAGCTTAAGGAAACTCGATACAAAAGAAAAAAAAATGAAAAAGAAAAAAAAAAGTGTTAAGGTGTGAAGGACTAAACTTAAGACTTCTTACTATGAATTTTCACACACACACTAAGTACTCATGAGTTAAATCTTTTGATAAGTGGTGTGAAGAATAGAATTAAGTATTTGACTTTAAGTGAGTGTATGAGAACTCTTGAATATTTGAGACTTTGTATCTAATTGAATTTTAATTCCTAAATTTTCTTTGCATGCATATCATATAGTTGCATTCTTGCATTAGGATTTTGTGGGTAGATCCACTAAAAACCCTCATGAGACACAACTTATCCACTAGGGTGACCTAGGGGTTTAAAGGCTTGTTGAACATGCTAAGTGCAATCGTGATTCCTACGAAAGTAAGTTCGGTTTTATTTTCTTTTTATTTATTTATTTTATTTTACTCGAGGACGAGCAAAATGTAAGTTTGGGAGAATTTGATAAGTTGAATTTATATATATATTAATGTGGAATTTCTACCTTGATTTTATTAATATTTGGATGAATTTTATGAAATTTTACATGGTTTTCATTCTTTGTGCAGAACATGACTGGAATGCATAATAATATGAGTTTTTGGAATTAATTGAACATCTTCTAAAAGTTGAGGGACTGAGTTGCAAGATGAAAGGTGTTTCTTTGGGACTTAAATGAGTGAATATTAAGTTTTGGGATCTTAGTGCTTATGGTACAAAATCTAGAGTACCAGATCTACAATTTTACCGTTGAAGAAATTGCAAAAAGAGGTTGGGAACCCGACATGGATATAGTGTCGATACATAAGTTACAATGTCGGCATTATGTGTTCAGCGTCCAAAATTCAAGTTTCCTATTTTCAAGTTTCCTTATTTGTTCCAAATCCTACTTCTTTTCTAATAGGGTTTCTTAAACTCTATAAATACCCATCCAAATTCAGAATTATGTAAGCTTTTGGGGAGAGCTTTGGGAGGCTGGTGGTAACTCTCTTTTGAGCATTATTAGAGATCAAGATAGAGAATTTAGCAATAGAAGATCAAGGATTCAACTACCTCAAATTAGGTTTTGTTTTTCCTTAAATATTCTTATATTCATAATTATAATTCCAGATTTTATTATTTTCATTATGAACTGATTTATTCTATTAGGGTTATGATGTAACATAATCAATTTAATATAAAATTTGTGATTTTATACTTTCAATTAAAGTTATCGACATGATGAGTTTATATTATTGAGCTTAATGTATTGAGAGCCTAATCATCTTTCAATTAATTTAGCGATTTATGCATGAACTTGAGAAAGAATTGTGTAAATTAGACCAATAATAATATAAACCGTGTGTTAGACTATGAGACCAAGAGGTAATTAGCTCACATGTGGTACTGGAGGAAGAGAAGAGAGTTAGTAGCTCCCCCTTTTTAAACTAAAGATTTCCATAGAATTTAATGCTCATCAATTTGTTTAAAATTACATAGAGATATGATTAATTTAACAAACAAGTGAAAGATTAACTTGACTTGAGAAAGATAGTTAGTTAATTTAGGGAAATCAGCTATCACATGCAATAATACTCAACAAATTGGTTTTGGAAGTATATTAATTCAGAATTTATATTAATTGATTATGGTGAAGTCGTTGCCTTAGTGCCTGATATCTTAATTAGCTTTATTTTAATTGTTATTTCCTTTGTATTATTTTTAATTAAAGTTATTCCTTTTTTGATTGTTCAAATAAATTTAGGGTAATTATTTTGGTACTTAGACCTCATTTGGTATCGTGGTTTTGGGGTAGCGGTTAGCGGTTTTACCTAAACCGCTAAATATAGGTGTTTACACCTAAAATAAACCAATAGAGTAAAGCCATGTGTCAAGATAAAGCCCAATTATCAAGAAAATCAATAGGCTGGATTTGGGCTGGGCTGACTTACAATTTAATGGCCCAGACGGATTTCCAAGGAGGTTGGATCTTAGGTGGCAGAAGATAAGATTGGATCTGGTGGTTTGAGTTTGATTTAAAATGGAAAATTGAGGGTTTTTAGGTAGTTATTTTTAAGGTTGTTGGAGATAAGGTTGTTGGAGATAAGGTTAAATAAAATTATTGGATAACTGTCAAGTAACTGCCAGACCTACAACCCCACTACCAGATCATGGAGGAACAGTACCGGAAATCATGGAGGGAAGGTGACAGCACCGAAGCAAAGAAAAACCAGAAGGAGAGATCAGTTGAACCCCCGGCCAACACACACAGAGACTGCCCAGAGCATGTTTTTCAGCTTTCAGACTGCATTTTCCAGATTTCAGCAATAGTTTCCAGATTTCCCAAATTTTCCAGATTAGTTCATAGCCTTAGCCTAGGTTTGTTCATCTTTTTTCGTATTTCCTTTTGCAAATTCCAATTTAGATTAGTTTTTAAA